TTTTAATCTAAGCACACATATTTCAGGACCCATTAACTTGTCTTTTCCTTTGGTAAAGAGTTTTTAGATTGACTATTACATGGCAAGGAAATTCAGTGCAGATGATTTCAGTCACACAGTGACCGACGCTCCTCACCTGGACAACTGCTTGTCCAGTCAGACAAGGTGGACAAGGAAATGTTTTCTCAGATGTCCTCACAGGGCAGAGCCGGGTGAAAGCCAGTCTCTGGTGTGCTAGACAAATAAATAACCAAACACCGGGACCATGATAAAGGCCCAGGACAGCTCAGCTCTTGGTTCTGATACCTGCAGAAAGAGTTGTATGTTTGAGTCACATATGGCTGAAGATGTGCAGAGACCATTAAAATAAACATTTTTCCGTGATGCTAAACATGTGTGATGTGAAAATTGCCTTTCATCGTAGCTGTACAGCAGCCTTTATACACTCACCTATGATAAACCAGGCTTTTCATAATAAAATATTAATCATGTAGTTACTAATTTGTGTGCAATGACAGCACAACACTTCATTTACATTTATCTGAGGAACACTGGAACAGGCATACAGTGTATTTCTCTAAAAGCTTTCATGAATGTTAATGACAGGGAATATCACTTGAAGACAAAACTTGTGCCTAGGAAAAGGGAAGCCAATAAAGCATCATGTGGAAAATATTAGCTTGCTGGAAAACTCTTTATGGTTTGAATTAATTTTTAGTTCAGCAGCACTTGTTAAAACTATAAATAGATAAATAGTCTCTTGCTTTCCTATAGCTTTCTTCTTATAGTGTGCTTTAGAGTCTTCACATTCAGTGATTTTTATTTTATTATATTTAGTTATCACTGCAGGCTCTCTTTCAGAGAACTACTTTGATATCAGGCTGCTTTATCTCATTTCTAATGTTGATAAAAGCCAATTTAGAGTCACTTTCTTTATATAGAAAACTCTTTATGGTTTGAATTAATTTTTAGTTCAGCAGCACTTGTTAAAACTATAAATAGATAAATAGTCTCTTGCTTTCCTATAGCTTTCTTCTTATAGTGTGCTTTAGAGTCTTCACATTCAGTGATTTTTATTTTATTATATTTAGCTATCACTGCAGGCTCTCTTTCAGAGAACTACTTTGATATCAGGCTGCTTTATCTCAGTTTCTAATGTGATAAAAGCCAATTTAGAGTCACTTTCTTTATATAAAACAATGGAAAGTACAAGATATTTTGATGATAATAGCATCTTTACAAAAGGATGACCATCTGCCTTTATTCACTTCTCCTGCTTTCAGTGTCCTATTGAGCTCTACTTTCCCTATGGAAAGATGAAATCACTGAGATCATTTTCAGTCCTGTCAGCTGCAAAGATGTGGTAACCGTCTTATAAGACAAGCATATGGCTGGGTCTTAAGGGCTTTTTCAAACTGGGGATCCAAACATAGGCTGCCAAGTTGTGTACAGGAGCATCTGCCATTTCAGTTCCCCACCACAACGCCTCCCTGTACCACCAGGAAGCCTGGGCTGGTGCCTGCTCTTTTCCAGGTTGGCATTTCATGGCAAGAGCAGGCCACAAAAATGCAGAGATGTGTATCTGAAGGCTTAACTTTTTAGGCTCCTGAATTTGAAAGTCTTGGGAATACTTTGGGAAAGATGAGACTCACCCATCTGGAGGATCACAGCAGAAACCCGGTTGCAAGCTGCAGGGTGAACATGGAGGGACCTGGATGTTGAGCAGTCTCTCCAGGTGGACCAGGAAGCGATTATTTTAAGATACGCTTTGAGCTCACAGACAGAGCAATGCCATTCACACAGTCCTTGTTGGGCAGGCTAGGAAGGATCCATTAGTACTTCATCTGATTTATTTTTACATAATCCCTGCCAAAACTGTTGTCTAGTAGGCCCAATGTCTCTGTATCTTGCTTTATTTGTGGTCTCTTGGCTTAGATGGCTTAGCTTCTGAGGAGCATTGAGCAGGAATTGCCCCTATACATGGGGGCCTAACTGTTCCAGTGACCACAACAGCTCCTCATATCTAACCAGAATGTGTCTCCAACTTCAACCACTCGATTTTTCTGCTGTACGGTGCTGCTGCCTCCTGCCTTTTGTGACAAATGCTGTAATTTGCCTCTACGAGCTGTTAGGAAAGCTTTGGGGCTGACAGAAGCCACAGGGCAGCTCAGGCTGGCCCTTGGAGCAAAGGCAAGGGCAGGGCACCACGAGGAGTGGATTCACTGCCCTGCAGTCTGTCACCTTTCCAGATGCAAAAACTGAGCAAAACGCATCAGAAAGGGATTTAGCTCAAAGGGACAGATTGGTTTTTGTTGCAAGTAGTGGATTTCATGGCCCTCACGGAGAAGCAGGATTGCAAAATGTAATTTACATTGTCCTGGTTATTTTCCCTTTTCCATGGACACCAGTGCATCCAATCCACTGGAATGGTGACATCCTTAGCAATGCCTGTGAAGCGGCTCCATATTAAGAGTGGCCAAAGTGGGGAGCAACTACCCGAGCTGCATCTGATGGCTCAGGCTGAAGGTTGACTCCTTCCCTTTGACCTTGAAACATGATGACATTCTGGTAGTGGTGTGTCCTTGCCCGTGCCTTCCTTCTACTGATGGCACCGAAAAAGTTAGGTCTGTGCTTAAGACAAAATATTGCCAAAGGAATTTGCAGTTAACCATTTACTTCCTCATCAGCCCCTAATACAAGAAATATCAGTATATTTAGAGCTCAGTAAGGCATTTTTTTCTGCAGGTAATCAGCATAGTCATGACAAACTTTGCCATGAAAATGTTTGTGTGGAGACAATTGCTCTGGTTCAAAAGGTGCATGGCGCTTGTGGCTAGAATCACTGTCCTTCACAATTTTTTATATAGTGATACTTACATTTTGCCTGGTGTCTTTTTGTTTGCTTGGGGTTTTTTGTGTTTGGATTTTTTTTCAAAAGCACAACATTTATCAAAACAAAGACTGAGCATTTTTATATACTTTTTGTTTTAAAGCAAAACATGGCCCCCATGCCAGGAAGGTAACTTACCTGTTCTAATCATATAGAACTTGCCCTGAAAATCAGAGAGGGCAGAGTAATACAGAAAGATTTGTGAAGGTGCAGGAAGTTGGATTTATTGCTATTTGTGAAGCCATTTAACACTCTTCAGAACAATTTTAGCTGGTCAACACCCCATTGGTGCATCTCAAAATATCTGCCATGTTTATCTGAGACAGCCTTCTGTAACCTCTCTTCATTTGTTATTACCTAGTGTTTGCTCTTAGCCCCATTTTAAAACTTTAGTCATTTACTACAGGAGCCAAAAACCTTTTCCCCCCCACCCCATGTACTGAATGACCGACTAATAAGCAGGGAGGTAAACAATTTCTGAAGTACTTCCTTTGCCTAAGCTAACTGTTGAATAGGAAGAGCGCTCCTAGCAATTGGAATCACTCTGGAAACATGCCTTGAACAGACTTAAATCTGCAGCCATTGTAATCAAGAGATTAATAGATAAGTAAGTAATTTTGGCAAGTAACCCTCCCACACAAACTATTTTATACTTGAAGACTGCTAAAATGAGACATTTAATAAACATGAAATGAAAACAATCCCAGTAGCTGGATTAAAAAAATAAACAATAGTCTTGACTCACGCATTTAACACTGGAAAAAAATGGGTTTCAAAAATACTGTTGTTAGGTATAAGTGACTAAAGAGTACAGAAAATAATTTTTCAAAAATAGATCTTTATTAGCAGTCTGGGTTAGAGAACTGGATGTTCACTGTGACTCAGGTTTTCCATTGAGAGGAATAAAAAATTCTAGGTGTTCACAGGTTACAAGTTAAAAAATATGGAAAGTAATTTATTTACATTACCAAGATGAAATTGAGTTACAGTGGCTAATAGGATAGGTGTTGTGAGTTAGACATTAGAAGAGGGATATGAACCCAATTTACTGGGCAAATTAACTTTGTTAGAACACTTGAGCTGGTGCAAAGATAACAGTGCCTTTAGGAGACAAAATGCCTGCCTTGCTTGTGTACTCTGGTGTTTCTCTAATGATTAAAGTTCTTTAGGCAAGCTTTTCCACCAGCCTAAGGGAGCCAAAAGACATTGATAAATGTGCAACAGAAATAGAATGAAAACTGGACTTAATGCCCTAACTGTCCCTATCTTAATACTTGCTGAAGCAGTTCTGGTTTTTTTGCTCTCTGTAACTAAAATTGCTAAAAATTGTGCTTCTGCATGACATGGATGCCACTGATTTGCAAATGGAGCTAAATAGAGTTTTCACAACTTGAATAACAAGCCCAGAGAATCCCTTAAAAAATAATGTCCTGGAAAGCAAAGTAGCAGATAGAGACTGACCAAATTGAAGGGGAGGTGAAGCCTTTCAGCAGTGTCCATCTGAGGCAGTTCAGATAAGGTCTGAAATGCATTTGGCAGGATCCCTTTCCTTTTCAATAACAAGCTGTACTCTGGTTCACCTTGTGCCCAAGGATTTCACAGTGCTTGATACTAGTAAGGTGAATGGTGTTCAGTGCCTGACTGCATCCAGACAAGGGGATCTTAACACATTTGTTAGTCCAGAAAGTCTTCGCTATTTCCAGAACTGTTCAATGTGAGTGTGGTGGGTTGACCCTGGCTGGATGCCAGGTGGCCACCAAAGCCACTCGATCACTCCCCTTCCTCAGCTGGACAGGGGAGAGAAAATATGACAAAAAGCTCGTGGGTCAAGATAAGGACAGGGAGATCACTCGGCAATTACCGTTACGGGCAAAACAGACTCGACTTGGGGAAAATTAATTTATAACCTGTCAAATCAGAGTAGGGTAATGAGAAATAAAAACTAAATCTTAAAACACCTTCCCCCCACCCCTCCCTTCTTCCCGGGCTCAACTTTACTCCCAAATTCTCTACCTCCTCTCTCCCCAGTGGTGCAGGGGGACAGGGAATGGGGGTTGGGGTCAGTTCATCACACGTTGTTTCTGCTGCTCCTTCCTCCTCAGGGGGAGGACTCCTCACACCTTGCCACGCAAACCCAATCAGTGAGAAAGGGGGGTGGACTTAAATGATGTACCCAAGGTCACGCTGCAAATTAGTAGCAAGATGGGAAGCACCTCACAAACAGTCCCCTCCTGGGGTCATGGGACTGATCTGCCTACCTGAAAACAAAAGAAAACCAGGCCTCTCTGCAGTGATCAATTTAAGCCAATTTGTATTGAACAATTTGCTATGAGATTCAATTAAAAAAAAAAGAAAGAAAGAAAAACCTTGTAAAGCTAGACTAAACTATGTTAACAGCATAGCGGTCATTCTTTGATGTGATGCTTTAGAGGAGCTGAGGCAGAACGTGCTGTTCTTGTGCAGTTTAATAAAAATAAGGCTATGAAACATCTTCTGATGCAAAAATCCAAGACTCTCGTCAACATCTAACACTGAACCTTAAAATCACCAGACCTGAATGCATGCAGATGAGCTGTATTCGTTAATTCTAACAGCATCTGTGCCCATTTACACCAGCTAAATATCTAGCCTAACATTCAATATAAGCAATTTTCTCGTCCCTTCCCAATTAGCTCCATTACAGAAAATCTAATTAAATCATATCTTTTAGCAGGAACCAAGAATTCAAGAGCTACATTTTTTCACTTAATTAAAAGCTCTTCGTCTTGAACTGTTAATTTTCTGAAAAAGATATCCAGTAGTTCTTCCTCTGATCCACTTTGGTTACTGAATGAAATGGCTCATTTACTCTGAGTTAGCTCTTGAACTGTACGCTTAGGCTTCAACTCTTGTTAAGAGCTTAGAAGATGATAGGAATCATAGCTGCTTTTCTCCGCACCTCTGGATAAAATCTCTTCAGGTACAGCTTGTGTTTCTTTTGGGCCCAGAGAGACATCTGGATGACCATCAGGAAAGCAAAAATGCCAACTACCAAGGAAAAGGAGAAAAAAAAAAAAGGGATCATGTGTCTTCCTTCAGTGTCTGTTTCTGTGAATACAAGAGGGTTTATGGAAAAGTCTGCAGTCTCTTCTGTGGGCAGGGGCAAGTTAACTCTGCCCTTGTTTTCAGCCTTCCAGTTGCTGATACACCATAGCCTGAAGCTCAGCCTCCACATCAGAATTCACACAGACGTTCACATCTATTAGACACACCCTGTATCACCTATGACTTCGCCATAAATCACAAGGCCTCCTTGGGCACGGTGCCGTCTCAACACAGAATTACCCATGGCCTCTCTCGACTTGTTCTGGTTTGCTTTTGGCCTATAACACTTCGTTTTTACCCCTGGCGCCCAACCATAACAGGGAGCTGTGCTGTAACTTCCTGTTGCATGGAGGGAGAGCTCGGCCCTGGGGCAAGCAGGCAGCAGGTGCACGAATAGGTTTAGCTGCCTGCCAGCGAGGTCTCACAAAGCCTAACAACTATAGATGCCCCGGCCGCTGCTGTGGTTGTCAGGAGCCAGTAAGCGGTCTCTCGGGTACCTCTCCCTTCGGGCTGAGTGACACTGAATGGGAAACGCTTTTACAGGTGCTTTTTGCAAATTCATTGTCCTTTCTTCCTTAAAATGAGCTGGTGGATCAGAAACATTCATTTGGCATCTGGTCAAGTTGTGTTTGGGACAGTTACAGCAAGGATGAGTGTGCTGCGTATGTTGCTGCTCCCTGCCCTTGTAAACGCAGACCTACAATGTCCCCAAACTTTCAGGTCACTTCCATACCAGAGCCTAAAGCACAAAAATGTTGTCTCTTTTCAAACAAAATTAAAAGTTTAATTTTTGTATGATGCAGTTTCATCCACTTCTGAAATGCCTTTCTTTTTCATTTGTAAACCATGTGGGGCTACTTTTTGCAAGTAGCTTTTATAGGTTTCTATTTTAGAATGGAAAAATAATTTAAAAGTGAACGTTTTGGAGAGCTCAGTCCCAGGGACCATATTTGTATGGGTATTTAGGTCTCTAAGGATGCAGGAAAGTACTGAGCAACAGTTGCAAATGCTACTAAGCAGGCTGCCTGATATAAGCAAATGGGGAAATGCTACCAGGAACGTGTGTGTCTTTCCTCTTTTGAAATACTAAGTACATCTGTTTTCCTCTCCCTATTAGAAGTATTATTCCAGGTTTACAATGCAAAGAAATTTTCCTATATCAAAAATGATTGACTGTAAATGAAGAATACTGACTTCTTTTTTTTTCTAAATTTCAAAGTCTGTTTTCACTGTGGAAACAGAAGAAACAACAATATTTCACAAAAAGCAGAGAGCTGGTTTTGATCAAAAGAAGATGTTGCAATAGTGTTCATGCTCTCCGCAGCTTTCTGAGGGTAGCACTTTGAAGGTTTATACAGTCATGTCACAGGGGATTTGATGGCAATATTTCATATGCCATAAATTTTTTGGCAAATTTTAGATTTCCAGAATTCAATTCTGCAAACAACAATTTAAAGGCTATCTTCATTCTGTTTCAAACTTACCTGGCAGGGTTTGTGTCATCACTGTGAAACTAATCCAAGACCCAACCTGTTGCAAAGGAAAAGGCACTGTTAATTGTATACTTTATGTAAAGCAAAAGGGCAAGTTTTCAAAAGTGACCACTTCCCCAAAAGCTCCCCTGGAGGAAGAGTGTGATACTCATACTGGAAACGGGAGAGGAAAAATAGCTATAAAGGGACCTCCCAGTGTGCTGGATGGGGATGAAGAGATGGATGGTAAATCCTTGGATCACTGGGGAGTCTGTAGTGGAGGGGAATATACACAAAAGTCACGATATTGATGTGAGGGAAGAGAAGGGTCTGGTGGGGAAACATTTGTGGGAGCAAGGAGACTCTGACATACAGAACGTAATGATTGATGTGCAGAGGGAACTGGGTGGAGGTGTTGCAGATTTTCTGCAGGCAAAGGCTGAAACACGGTAACCACCTACCCTTTGCATATAAGCAGAAGAAAGTCATGTACCTCATACGTATAGTTGGGACAGGATACCAGCAAGAAGAGCCACGTGAAGGGGTTGTAGGTTGGACTTGGAAAACAGGCTTTATTTCCTTTATGAAAGGAAAAAAAAAGAAGGGAAAAAAAAAGAAGGGGGGGAAAAAAAAACCAAACAGGCAAAACCAGTTTCAACACAGGGAGGGGAACTGAGCCTTATCACAACTTGCCTATGTAACAGCCATCCCCTCGGCCAGTGCTCCCAGAGTACAACATGTTAAAAAAGTTTCAGTGAAATCTTTTGAGATGGCAAAAGCTGTATTTATCCCAGTGAGAATGCTGCTTAGCGAACCATGTATCAGTTTTTACAGGAAAGGTCTGGCATGTCCAAAGGATTCAACCTCTCTTTGAGAGAGACAAGTAGTTTAATGCAGACTAGCAGGCAAGCAAGGGCTAAGGGCACTCTTCTGGGATATAAAGGATGCAGCTGTATCTTATTCAGCCTGACTCAGGAATGTGAACCTGTCCCCTCTCACATCCTCATCCTTCATCCCAGGGTAGCACAGGAAAACAACTCCACAGCTAACAGCATGACTCTCTACAGCCACTGATAATGGTCACACAAAATGCCACATATGCAACACTTCATTTTTAAGTTCTGGCAACAATGCTATCCTTAATACTTGTAGGCACTGAGAACACTGATGAATTATTTGGCTCTTCCTGCTTTTAAACTGAATCAAGCCCCTTGCAACAAACAACATAAGCACCTGCCTAACCACGGCACATCCAAAGCTTTCCAGAATAGAAACTGACTTCACTGTGTGAAGTTGATCATACTGTGGTGAAGTATTTTCTTGAATAGGGTGTTATAGTGCAAAATTATACTATTATTATCTGAAAATATATTTTACTTTCTGCTATATATAGTATAACTGTTATTCTCATGGTACAAAAGACCCTGAAAACCCATGCTTGGAGCAGCGTTTTAAGAGCATACATATACATTGATGCCTGTGTAGGTATTCATGAGTCTATCTTTGTGTATTTGTATATGTGTGTGTGTATCTTTGCATGAGATGCACGTATCTAAAATTTCTGCAATCTAGTTTAAAAGTTTTTGAAACTTATTTAAAATGGAATCCTCTGTTGTCAGTCAACAGGATGCTTTAGAGAACTTCCATGCTTAAATCCATATTTAAATTGCAGTTGTGTATAATTAAGATAAATTTGCTATAAGCATTGGAACAACAACAGTCTTGCTAATGTTTCCTTGTCACCACATTTATTTTAAAGATGTTATACCGGTGGCATGGTACCTACTTCATCTTTCTTAATGCGGTGGATCTACTGTGGATGTAGATACGTGAATTACTGTATACCAGCAGAAGATGGATAGGTTAAGCACACTTCAGTCTTAAACAGACAAACAGGAAGCAAAGACAGACCTGAATGATTTTGGTGAGCTAAAGCTACGTTGATAAAGTGATTTCCAGCTTCACACATCTGCAAGATATTAAAAACATATTTTCAGTTGTATGCCTAAAATGCTGCGGTAACTGTGTTGCAGTGCATAACCAAAATCCCTCCATTACAGCTTATTCTCTGTATCCAGAAAATGTGTGCTCTGAAATGTCTCTCCCATGGGAAATACGTTCTGTGATCTTTCTTTGTCAAATGCACAAGTGTCTAGTTAGCACCGTGGGCGCAGCCTGTGTGAAAGCCCATGTTTCAGCTCCGTAGAGCTCAGTGCAGGCAGGCCTTCAGTGTGGTTCCCATGCCCAGCATGTACAAAATGCTTTGGTCTGGGGAGATCAGAGAGGCTCCCTGAGGTCTAAGGAATGTAGCAAGACACTTCTCTGAACTGAACATCATTGTCAGGATTTGGATTTAATCCAGCCTGCAAAGAAGCAGCTGAAAAGTTGACCTCTGGTTTTGTAAAGATGTCGTGAGTTAATGTGCCTACCCTCTTCCTACACATACTTTCAAAGGTGTTCAGCCTAACACCTTTGTTACGCCGGTTACAGAGCACAGTAACCAGTTCTCTAGGTAGGTCACAGAGGAAGGAAAAATAGGGTGAATAAACAGGCAGCGGTTCTCTGAAGGGCAGACTGGACGAAGGGATAGTAGACGGGAATTGATAAATGAAGGGAGCTGGTATTATTCCTGGTTCTGCTACTCTCTGGTTATGCCATTTCTAGCCCTAACCAACCTCTCAAACTTGATCTTTAATATTTAGATGGTTTAAATCTTTGGAAGAGGTACCGTGTCTCCCCACTTGGTTATACGGCATGTAGCACAAGGTGATTTCAGATTTGCTTGTGGCTTTCAGTCCTTCATCAATTACAACCACTGTAGAATCAAAACCAATTACTACCCATATTTAAAGTGGGAACTGGTAGGAAACCCAGTTTCAATTCCTGAAAAAGAAAGCCTGTCAGTACAGCAATCTAATTTTATGGTTTTCATTTTTCCCCTGCTTTATGAAGAAAACCAAAATGCTATATACATTTCAATCTTGGACTGAATTGAACTTTTTTATTCGTTTCTGGGTTTGAAGACTGTTTTCTCATCTCAAATTGAAAAAATGCGGTGTTAAAAAGTTGTGGTTTATTTTATCATTTGTACTAAATTTTGCAAGGCTGGAAAAAATTAAGAAATTAAAATGAAAAGGAAGAGTGCTAAAACCTAGAAACGTTAAAAGTGTAAAGTCACAAAATTAATACAGAAAAAAAGAAATACGATTGTAATTTTTTAAAGCCAATTGTGAAAGTCATCCATAACAAACTTCAGTTAAAACTAATTGAAAGGAATATGTAACTTCATTTTATATCGAAATGTGCCATTATCTGAAAGAACACTGTAGCTAGCATTGCTGAAGAATTTTCCCCTTTTTGGCGGAGAGATTTCTGTGGGTTTTGTTAGGAAACTTTAAATCGGTTCTATTAGCAAAGCTGTTATTCTGCATGGATATGTAGTCATGGGTCAAATCCCGCAGCCCTTTTATGTTTTTTAATTACAACTAACTGGCTGTCATCTATCATAAACACCAGATGTAACAATAAATAGGTCAAATCCCGCAGCCCTTTTATGTTTTTTAATTACAACTAACTGGCTGTCATCTATCATAAACACCAGATGTAAAACACTAAATAGCCAGAAAAGGAACCTCTATTATGAAATATCATATCAGAAGCTGTAATTTTAGCCATAGCAGTAGAATTAATTTTCATTTACGTACTTCCAATTGTGAGCTAGGAACATGATTGTTTCTGATTACTATTATTTTAAAGAAAAAAGTTTCAAAGTTAAAAGTGTTTTTGTGAAACACTATACATACTGAAATGTGCAATGCCCCTACTATTGTGGAGCAAGAGATAGTCACCCAATATAGTTAACACCTACTAATTCTATAATCAATTCTAAGTAAAACAAGCAAAGGGCATTTCTGCAGGGATTTTTATTGGCTTACCTTTGACTCTGCAGCTGCATTCTGCTGTAATTAGCTCTTATGTCCCTCTTTAGAAATGTGGCTGCTAATGCTCTATACCAAGAAGTACTGCTAAATGTAAGCTAGTCCTTAGTCAGTGTCTCAGATATAAAATATGGGGCAGTAGGGAACAGCAGAAAAAAGGCTTACCATATTTATGACGATAAAATATTGAAGTCTACATACCGTTCCCCCTCTTTATATTCCATGTGTACCCTATGAGAAAAACATTCCTGCAAAGCTTAGAGTAATTTCTCTAAATGAGAACCTTTCAGAAGGGCCTGCTGACACTCTTCAAATTACTCAGTACTGTTGTTTACAGCAGCTGCAGATGTATACACTTAAATCAGGATATGTAATAAAGACAAGCCTTAAAAGAGGGGGAAAAAAAGAAATCTTCCAAATATTTTGTTCATATGTTTTAGAAACATGTGAAAACAGCTTCAAACTATTTTATTTTGTATGTTGCTGTTTTATATTCATTGTCTGGGAACCTGCCAGATCAAGGTCTGAAAGGGAAAGGTTTTGAGTTTCCATGGGTAGGAAGTTCTCAAAAGAGCTGCAAAAATTCAGACCACAGACCAGGTGCTGATGCAGATCTGAAGGGGATGGCCATACTTTATAGCAAATACCCCCGACAGGACTCATCTCTTTGCTTGATGGCAGCATTTTCCATAAAAGCTATAGCAGGGCGTGTTACATCGAGGAGAGGAAGGATGTTTCATTAGAAAAGGAGGCTTCTTCTATGTGGAGATTTTGACGAGGACTAGTTTTACTGGTAGCACTGAATATTCAGGCAAGCGGTTTGCTTGGTTTCAGGTAACCCCTGAGCTTGAGAAGAGTGCAGACAGTAAGGCTCTGGGCACACCACTGCCTACCGCTGCCACAACCTCCTGCCTCCACAGTGCAGGATTATTGCTTTCGGCTGTAAGACCCTCACTGAGTGCGTGAACTTCTTCATATGAGCATTTTGCTTGCCTTTGCTATGCCTTGTTAGGGCAGGAAAAGCTGAGAATTGCATGGCCAACCCCCAGAGGCAAACACTGCCAAAACTGTGATCTTTAAGGGTCCCAATTTACGAAAGCGTTTAAATATTGATAAGGAGTTGTTTGAATGCTTTTCTGAATAGTGTTTGCCTGAAGGAGCCTAGACACGTTACTGTCCTGTCTTCCTGTTATATTTCTGGAAACTGGTCTGTATCTGATTTTCAAAGAGGCTGACTGTTTTGGCTACTGACCCATGCTTGCTTGGGAAAGTCAACACTCAGCATTTCCAAATGCAATGCCCACGGAGGATGGAAGAGAATTTTCATGTGAGAATTTCTTACTGAGCCTCTGTCTCACTGTATGGTTATGTTCATTCAAACATCAGGTTCAGTAGACTCAGCCATCCTTCATCACCTGCTCTTTCCCTTGGTTTAACCCACTTTGGCAGGGATTGTTTATTGTTTTTAATAGCTGTTGAGGTTAAGTTATTCAGGGTACACAGTACCGTTGCAAAGTCTGCTTAGGATTTAATTCTTCAGTGTTTTAAAAATGGCAAGTTCCAATCTGTCTAAATATTAGTGTTTTTACATAATTATGAGTAGTAATAATGCTGACAATGTTCTCATGACTCTCAGATACAGAACTTCACACTAAGGTGTATATAGGTATATAGTACTAGGAGACTTCCTGGCCTGGAAACCTTAATAGATTATCACTAAATCCAGTCAAAGGACACAGGGCTGTGGGCGTGGACATATATATACACAAATGCATAGCAGCATTACTGCATTTTGCTAAATCGTGAGTTACTCCTATTCCACAATCATTAATAAAACTTTAATTTTTACATACCAGAAAAGCAAGGGCAGCAAAAGAAACTTGTCTGTGGCCAAATGCTAGAAAATAGAATGAAATTATAAATTTCATTTTACAGTATGCACATGGTTTGCTATGGGTGAAATTAATCTAGTGCTGAGGAGCAGAAATACTTCTTTCCTGACAGGCTCTGCAGAAAGAATGGATATTATCACACACAATATGAAGACAATGCAAATAGTAACAGCACTCTAAAAATGCAAGTCTCTTCACCACTGATCTCAAGGCAGTTTTCACCTAACTTTTTCTAGTATTTGTCAGCTTCATATATCCAAGTGCTTTGTCAAAGCAGCTTGTGGTTTTAAATTCCTTGGAAAGGCAAGGGGAGGGATGAAGTGAAGGTCAGTGGCAGAACCAGGCCAGGAATCACAACCTTACCCATAGGCCCTTCTATCTCCATGAGCAGAGAACCCAAGACACAACCTATCCTTTACTTTTTTTTTCCCCCCAGTAGTGAAGCTTTACTATATAGCCTCTATCTGCTTCACAGTCTCACCATGCAAGAAATATATTTAGCCTTTGCAATTTTTACCTGCCCTTTGCCTGCCCTCTCCTTTTTGCTATTGTGCTGTATCATGTTCATCTCCAAAGGTTTACAGTTCTTAAGTAAACCTTGGTCATGGCTGAGGGACACAAACCACATGTATGTACCTCACTTCCTTGACCAAGTCTCATCGAACCTTTACTTTTGAGAACCCTTTTTCTCTGGCTGGCACACAACTCCTCTGTGGTGCTATGGCCATGTGCTAAAACTCCTTCTCAAAACAACCAGCACATGTCAACATGTGAGTATGTAGCTGCTAAGCAGATGTTCTTCATGGGCCCTTTGTCAGCCTGGTTTAATTTACCAGTCCTGCATAGCATTCTGCAATTACCTGCTTGCCTTTCTTTAACTGTCCCCAAACCAGCCATCTCTGGATATGGCTGTGGAGGTCACCTGCTCCTGCATCCAAAAAAAACCATCAATGTTTTACTGATCCAGCTAACTATGCCAGAGGGCTGGTGATCTCCAGCATTAGACCCATGTACCTATATTTTTCATTTTAAGGCAGTGGCAAGCAATTAAAAGTGCTTCTTCTGAATGCTTTCTCTGTTGGAAAGCTGTGTCTTGAACAAATAGTTTCCTCTATAAAGTAGCTGCACCTACTGATCTGATGGCCCAGACTGCTAAAAACTGTGTCTAGGGAGGTTTCAACGTTGTTTGCAGCATTACTGTTAAAGCCACACCAAATTCAACTGTCTTTCAATGAATGACATCATTTTGAAACAGAACTTTTGTGTTATTTTGAAAGGAAAGCAAGTGCCATGTAGGAGAAATTTTTGATTGAAAAAAATTAGTAATTTAACTGAGCGTAAATAAAAATGGCAAAGCAAACCCTTTGTTCCCAAAGCTCATAGATAAGTGTAAGATGCAGAGGAAAAGAAAGACTAAGGTGTAGCAAGGAAAGTAAAATAGCAGGAAACAAAACGTATGACAATTATGCTCAAAAGAAGCAAAAGTTCAAAGAGCAAACAAGAAGAAAAAAATCATGAAGAAACAGCAGTGCAACAATAAAATATAATGAGAGGGAACAAAATGATGATTGAAATCTGGAAGCAAAAAACATAGGATTTTTTTCATTTTTATCAGCAGTATCTGATTGACTTTTACTGATTTCTCACAAAAAGAAAAAATTCTTAATTTTCATGAATAGGATATATCTTTAGCAAATAAATATCTCCCCCAAGGAAATGCAGCCAGCTCTAGTTCTCTCCTGCATTCTTAACACAAATATTGCGAAGATGAGCAAAATATGTCGTTCTTTGTGTTTTCTCCACTTGGCAAATATTTCCAGTTCATAAAACTGGACAGCGATTGACCATTGCTGAACAGGAACGTACATTCAGTGGCACAGCAGGAGTGCCTCCTGCACAACAATCTTCCTTCTGACAGGGAGTAAAGGCTAATCTCTGGCTAGATTAGTCATATGATCTCATGTGGGGGCCACCTGTTGATTTTGGAGGACTTAAGGTTGCATACCAAAAACTTTTTAAAACCAAGGTCAGTTTTGTGTTCTACTTATACATACATGGTGGCGTATATCGTGGATGGTTGATGTAGTATGCAATCCAGGAAGTGAATCCCCAGTGAAAGGCACAGCCCTGGAATGGACAAAAGATACTTTTTTTTTTTGTTAGAAAAGGCGATAAACAAGTACAAACCACAACTTCATAAATATAAATTCTGGTAAGTGCAAAACCCTGATGACCATTGAAAGACTTTGCAGTGGTTTCTTGAGTCACAGAATATAGATCTTTTTAAGATGCTATGAAGCCACTAAAAAAAAAATAAAAGGATGCACAGTGTAGATTTTTTGGATTGTGTTGAATGTGTTTTATGCCTGTTGTAGGAACTGATGTTTGGTTTTTTCCTTATTTGATTCTACTGCTGAAGGGCACATTTCTCTGAGTTGTCCTATTAAATGTCTAGGGCTGGTTAAAACAGCTGAGCTGTTACTGTACCTTTAAACTCAGCATTTCCAAGCAAGATAGAGCTAGCCAGAGTGCTAAACCAGCCGAGACAATAAAGAGTAAAACTGAATAGTCCTGGTTTAACCCTGGCAAAAAAAAAAGGCACACAGCTCCTATAAAGATATTTGAGCTACACACTGCATCAACTCCCATGGATTCAGCCCCACTTCATCCTCTTGTTAAAAAGCAGCACCCCAGCTGCCTTTGCTTGCTGACTGAAGCCATGGGCTTGGGCAAGCCCAAGCAGAGATAATGTGGTCATGTTCTTGCCCTGTGTAGGGGTCACTGCTCCCATCCTTTGTACAAGAAAAAAATAAAACCCACCAGCCAAACAACTGAAACCACCCTGGAAACTGGATAAAGCCTTTCTACATGTCTAAGTTAAGGGTCCAATGCTCAGTACCTTCTCAGGAAGAGCAGTGTGCAGGGACTGGCTCCCATAAGTAGGGCTGCAAGTCAGGCTTTCTCTTTTTAATCTTTTTATGCAATGCCACTGTGGTACATGTACCACAGACATGAGGGGACAACAGTAACTGTGAGTCCTTAACTCCCACGTGCATGAATCACTTTGGAAATGGCACTCTGGTTCCAAAGCCATTTAGCTTATATTCCTCCTTTTATTTTTAAACACTGTGTATGGTAAAACAACATCTCTAGCTGTGCATCTCACTGCCTTCTTTCTGACTGGAATTGAGTCAAGCCCCCTATCATGGCCAAACATTTATCTCCTTCACTAAAATCTTAAATGTGTTGCAAAACTTTTAAAGGGAGGGTCTTTACATCACACTGAATGGGATGGAGGGTTGGGTGATACAAAATGACCAAGATTGAGTATGTGAAATAAAAGAGCCTATGAGTAATGACACACAGTTGAAATTCGGGAGGCTTTGGGAGGCAGAAGACGCTAGGCCAGCTCAGTATCTTCCTTCCTGAGACCTCCACCTATAGAAGGAGAATATATTTTGTTTTCTACTTGTAATTTGATTTTAGCTTCCTCATGCAAAGCCTGTCTCTTGCTTTCTATTTATATTGCACTGAGGAAGTGGAGTGTGATTTCTGTCAGCATTGCTAAATGTTGCAGCAGCATACCTCATAATAAAGTAACATTCAGTCTGCAAAATATCCTGGACATGACAATCGGCCCCTTGGGTGGATGAGTCAAACTGGACATTGACATGCAGGAGCTAAAGTGGACGTTGATTTCAGCTCATGTCCTTGGGGACATGGCCCTGAAATTCTTCCTATATTTGTATTTTGACTACTCATAATTCCTGGAACTAGAAAATAAATTATTTTTTATTTTCCTATCTTCTTCTAAGGACTGCTTTGATATGAGGATATTCTCTCTTACACAATATGATAAACATATTGTCACCTTTATCATATTTTTCAGAGGAGTGTGCCCTCCCGAAAACTTGTGAACAAATAATGTCTCCAGAAGATGTCTGATGTAGTGTAAACAATGGCAGAAGCAGGCCAAGCTGGAAGAAAAAAGAAAGAAATTAAGGTAAGTGAAAGATTGCTTTTTATTACTTCACAGTTTAATGTCACAAAAGGAATAAGGACTGAGTCACAGAGTCACACTGAAATCATGGGATTTAAGATATTGTCTTAATTGAAGCATCTGGAACCAAAGATTAATGGAATAATTTTCAGTATTATACAAAGTTGCTTTCATTTTGCAGGGAAGCAACTTATTTTTACTAGCCTCAAATCAAAAAGAGCTCCTCGAGCTCTGAATGTGATACATAGCCCTGACAAGACATTAAAACAGGACAGCTGTGTATACAAGCAGGCGTCTGCCGTGCTTTTCCAAAAGACGTCTCCCACATTTTAAGGCCACCTTAACGCTCCTGTAGGATGTGTCTGACATTTAAAAACATTCTGAATATCTTCTGAATGGTTTCCTTGTCCTTTGCCAACTCAAGTAGCTTCATGGAGGTAGTTTGTATTTCATTTCCTTGTGGACACAAAATGAGATTTTGTTGCAAAGTTAATCCATATTGATGGCTTTTTTGTTGCCTGTTACAAAGAAATGAGGTAATTGTTGTAGAAATTATTATACTGATTCTCTTTTGAGGAAGATTATGAAACAATAACAGGCGTTGCTGATTTGCTTCTGAGAATGAGTTGCAGCTCGTAGAGATTGAGTTTTAGAAACAAATGTCAAGAGTGATTCCTGGTGGCATTTTATCTTAGTTACATTTACCATACTACCAGAGTCCGTCTCACTGCAAACCAATTATAAGACATAAATGAAAAGTGGTTTTCAGCATGTGAAATCTCAAATACTTTTATTATGCATCTTGTATGGTAGCCAGAGTCAAAGATTAAACAATTTCAAAGTAATTAAACCAGAGAGAGTTGAGCTAAGAAAATTTCAAACAATTAATGACTTATCCAAAGTCTGGAGCAAACTTCCAGCTTTGCTGGAAATTTTAAAATTAATTTGGCTTAGGATGGGGACCTCAGAGGAATCCGTTAAGGAGTGGTCACTGGAGGATTCTGCATATCCCTTGCCCGCTTAAAAGAAGGTAAAAGTATTGCTGACTATCCTGTGCTACCAGAAAGTCTCTCTTCTTAAGTGTATGAGCGAGAGAAGGAAGGAAAGCGTCTTGCAGCTGTGGATTTGAATTCAACTATTCTGTGTTCTCATTCCCAGCTCCACTAACTCCCTTAATGTCTCTCCAAGTCTCTGTTCCTCCATCTGTAAATGGTATTATTACTCACTGTGTTTCTCTGCTGTATACCAGCTCCCTTGATTCTGCAGTCATAATGTGGAAAAAGTGCTGTGGGAAAGCTGTACAGTTCCTCGAGGCTCCTAGTTCCCTGTGTGCCCTCTCACTTCAGTGCTCCAGCTTACGCAGCCAACAGGCTTTCCTTGATCATGTTCCACCCCTCTGCCAGGCACTAATCCCCCAGAATGGGGACAATCACACTGAAGAGAAGGAAGTTCCTTAAGTGTGAAAGTTCCCAGCCTGCCTGGTGCATTAACCACCATCCTGTGGAGGGATACAGTTGGTGGTGGCAGTGCCTTGAGCCTCCCAGGCAGTTATCATGTGTAGCTGCTTGCCACTTTCTTGTCTGTAACTGTTCTTAATCCCTCCCATTGATCAGGTCTGCTTTGTTTCTTCCAGAGTCATTCAAAAGTCTTGGGAATGGCAGGGGCTGTCAAAGGTCATAAAAAGCTATCTTGGTTGGCTGTCCTCTCTTCATTGCTTTTTGGCACGCTCTTGAGTTCTAGCAGACTAAGCAGGTTGCGTTTCCTTGAGGTCAGCTCCTACTGTATTATATCAGAGCTGTTTAATTTTCCTTGTTAGCATTACTGTTCCAATGATGGAGAGAAGCAAAGCTATCTGGTTTATGCTTATGTATGAGCTCCTCTGATTTGTTTTTGTACAGCTAGATACAACCTGTGCTCTTCATTGTTCTATAACAGCAGCTGAGCTCTTATTTTTGTTTGTCACTTAAGTGTTTTATTTCTTAAAAGTCTTTCAGAACTCAAATATGTTGCATATGACCCTGGAGAACAATTACAGTTTGAAGAGATTAGTTTCAAAAATCAGGTTACCAGTTCTGAATTCCTATGGTGCTTCTTTTGAGTTTCTCAGTTGTTCTTGACCTGGCTCATGACATGCAGACCTCTTGAAATTCCTGCTTGTCGTGCCTAGGTGAGAGCTGGCATGGGGGTAGTTATCTTCTGTGCTGGATGCTGATGCTACTCATCTTATGAGTGGGAATGCACTGTAAAGAGACTGGGAGTGGGACACCTGAAGTCTTGTCCTCTCTTCTCTGTCAAGTGTGACTTTGGGTTACTACCCACTGTGTTTATTATTTCACCTTCTGTTCAGGCTGTGTGTCTGGAGTGCAAACTATTTGGGGAAAATACATCTCCCATTGTGACCAGGTGCAGTGACCATTGCAACTGGGATCCCATTTTTGGTCAGGCTTATGAGTGCTGCTAAAATGCCAAACTGCTATTGATAAGAACAAGCTGAAACTCCCACTGGCTCTGAGACCAAGCATGCAGCCTCACACCCCCTGTACCTCCTCAGCCCTGGAAATGCAGTCTCCATCCCTCTGGCTCCCTGTCCTCCAGGAAAATAGTTCACGCAAGTGTCACTTACTGAACCACTGGGTGGCGGAAGTTCTTCGTACTTTCCGCTTGATCATAAATAGTTGAGAGACGAATGTAAAAGAGCAGATATATTAGAAGAGGACCGGTGTATTCTGCTAGAAAAAACTAGAAATGAAAAAGAAAATAGCTGTATCAGAGTAGGAAATTGTACCAAGGCATGGGAAAACGAATACCCCTATCCACAACACCTATTCATCCTTCAAATGTCATTTTGGCTTCATTTTGAGGACTTAAATGACACATAGGGTTTTTTCTGCTGTCTCTTTAGCAAAGGAGTAGAACCCATCTAGCAAATGAGAGAGAGGTTTCTGTGCAGAACACTAACCCAGTCAGGAAAGCTTCATGGAAGGTGGTCAAAATCACAGTCATCTCCTCTTTATACTTTTGGCTGTGCCATCAGATGCCTATTTGGAATCTAAATAACACTGAAAATTGAGGCCCAAAAGCTGAAGGCAGCTTGCTTTCTGCCAGTGTTTTTTGCAATTAAATGATACATCAGTTAAAAGCCAACCAAGCATGTCAGAAACAAACATAGCTTTGACTCCTGGTTGCTAGCAGAGTCATCTGGAGGGGAGGGATCATTGCTTGAAATTTGGTGGTGGGTGGAAGAGCAGGACCTGCCTGCCTGGTGTATGGCACTTTGAGCCTTTGTTCAGTGACCGAGTGGGACTCCTCCCTGTGCAGGCATCAGCAGAAGTAGCCTGCAGTGGGCAGACTGGACAAGTAAGTTACCCTGTAAAACAGAAAGAAGTAATTCCATCTCCCCACTGCCACCCCCGCTAGCCACAGAGAGCCTAGAGGAGATAAGGGGACAGGGAGAGAAGGCGGAGTTATAGCGCTGCCATGAGCCACCCTCAGTTTTACGTTCTGGCTTTGGTTTGGTACAGCCTGCATTGCCTTTTGTCAGGGCACGCTTGTAAGCTACAAACAGCTGGACGAAGTAAAATGTGGTTAGAGTGATGTGAGGTCTGGATTTCATCATCTGTCCCCACTGGAATGAATCTCAGAATAAAATGGAAATGGTGTAGTCCTACATGTTTACAAAGACCAGCAACTGGCAAATCATAATTCAAGTGCATAGTATTGCTTAAGGGATAACAATTCATAACTAATGGGCCATTTGGCTTTAAGGTGGCTGTTTGCACAGCTATAGAATTGTAATGGATAAATACCTGTGGCTTAAGGAAGCAACACTGAATTTAGACTACCTTTCTCAAAAGCAGTATTTGGCAGGAAGTCCGACCACTAGTGGGCTGTTCATCTAATCACTCTTCAGAAGGGCTTTGAAACAGAAAGGTTTTCCTGCAGAAATATTCTGCAATTAGGTTTCCTTCATTTGGGACCCGCAGTACCATTTCTTTTCCTCTATTACAGGGGGAAACGTTTTGAAATTTCAGCCTTTCATAGCAGGACTGTCTCCAAAAGTAACAGACTTAAGTGTTCTCTACCAGGGAAATGTCAAATTCTCTTTTGTTCCACGTGACACCATGATTTCTGTGCTCCGTTTAGACTCTGCATGATCCCAAGAGCGGGTGTGTGTGTATGTGTGTGTGTATGAAAACATTTAATCAAGGATTGCCTAAGAGCCCAAGTTATTGTGGAACACACCACAGCCAAGGGCTTATTAGAGTTTTGCCCTAATAGCAGTTGTATGGGTCTATTCCTAACTGTGAGCCCACTGTGTTAGGCACTCTGCAAACACTGTAAGAGACAGCCTCCACTATTAAAACCTGATACACTAAATATAGACAATGGTGGTATAGGAGGCAGAGGTGCAGATAATATGGTCTGGGTAGGTCAGTGTAAGAGCTTGGAATGAGCTGCTTTCTTCAGCGTAGCTTTTCCTCTCAGCCATGAGTTGTACCACAAAATACATCTGTAACTGCCAGCTTTTATCATGTTTGGCATGAGCATATTACAAAGCTGCCAGGAAAAGTTTGGCAGGACGTAGCACCAAGTTGTGGTTACTTGTCACTGCACCAAGTGTTTCCCCCTTTACCCCCTGGCTAATTTCAGATGCTGAAAGGAGAAGGAAAGCTTCAGGATTTAGTAAAAAAATCCAGTCTCTATTTAACAGCCAAAGCTACCAGCCATGCATACCTGAATCCCTGTGACTGGGTGAGGTGTCTTTGATGTAAAAGGGGGGATGCAGAGCCTTCCATCAGAGCAATTCAGAGAAGCAGCTGAGCACCAACAAGCAGCTCTTGAGTTGGGGTTTGTGGAGGTGAGCAGCATCAGCATGCTCAGGGTGTTTTACAGGCCAGGGACAAGGTCCCGTCTTACCTGTGTGTCAGTCACATCCAACACAAAGCAATAATCGCCCATGCGGAGGCAGGCAGTCCAGGGTCAGCTGTGAGATTTGCAATCACAGTAGGTATTGTCTGGCAGGCAGGACTGTATTTGCCTTTGTCATAACTGCATCACACTGCTGGAACATAGTTAAGATCGGTAGCATTCTGTTTTAGAGGATGAGGTTCAGTTTGCTCTAGTGTTTTTGGGGTTTTTTTTACATTTTGGGTGAGTTTCAGTCTGTTTCCCTCTGTTGCATCTCCCATGCTGCAAACTCTGCTCTCCTTCTCTGGCCCACTGATTTTAAATTCATCAGAAATGAAAAGTGAGTTCCATAAAGGCAGGCAGAGAAACTCTGCTAAAAATCCCATGAGTTCAAGCAGGTGGAAGGGAAGGTAGTCTTCAATTAACACAAAATTACAATAGGTTCTAACCATTGGCAATCAAAGGCAAGCATCATTCTTTTGCTATTGATTCTCAATGAATATATACAATTAAGCGTACCTAGTATCTTCATGCTCATCCTATAGTTGATTAATTGGTGGGCTTGGGGAGTTATTAGTTGTGTTAAGGATCAGTTCAACTTATCATTTTTACAGATGCTCAAAAAACCTACAAAATTACTAAGATACTAGTTCCTGCTGACATATCCTGCAAAAATAATAATCAAATTTTAAACAAAACCCTGACAATAATAACATCGTATCTTGTAGTTTCTAGACAAGAGAAATACTATTTTGTAAAAACCAAAAAGAGTGATCATTTAAAACACAGAGCTTTTTTCTTCTGCAGAAATGTAAAAAACATCCAATATTTAGAAGAAAATTACTTTTTCTTTACCATCTTGTGGGCCTGCCTAGATTATTTTGATGTATTTGGTGCAGCCAAATATGGCAGTCCATAATAAACACAAAGATCTTTTCCTGGAGAAGCATTACATCTCTATTACAATGTGCATAGCTCAACAGAATTTAACTGTTGAGCTCATCATTAACTCCCTGAAGAAAGAAAACTGGAGATTGCCCCTTTTTTCCACATCTGTACACTCTATTTCATATCTTGAACAGTGTCCAGTTCGCTTACCTTCCTTCTTTCCTCCACAGTGTCTGGCATTATATACTCTATATACCTCCTACTCTCAGTGGCACAGAGAAAGTGCTGTTCTTGAATCAAACCCCTCCCAGGCATGAGCTCCATACAGGGTGCTAAACTCAAGCTTCTTTAACTGTCTCAATTATCAGGTCCTTGGGGATACCTAAACTGGAAACATCTACTACATAAACAACAAAACAGAGATCTGAAATATGTCAAAAGGGAGCTAATCTAGGAGTCTCCATCATTCAAGAGATGATGACACAAATGGGAAAACAATACAGGATAGCTAATTCGCAAACCAGCAAGGCATTTCATCTTGCATGAGCCAGATTGTACCTGCTTCTTTTATCTCTGTTCAGATGATCATGCCAGAGTAACACCTTGCTGAACTGAGTAACAACCAGGTCAGGAATTATAATCCCAGACCTTATGAAGCAGAGGGTATATTTAGGGAGATATGAATACAGCAGCCGTGAACGGAGCTCTTTAAAGTTATTTGAGGGAATGTGAGGTGAATTTTCTGGCTGGTCAGGGCAGCTGGCATAGTGCCTGACACCATCCCAACAGGTCTACTACAGGGAATGGAAAGGATTTTGATGTGAGTTAATAGTACCATGTGTAGTGGTTGGGAAAAGGCAGAAAAGGACAAAAGGAAGCTATAAACAGAGGGGGTGGAGTGAAGGAAGTCTGAAAAAAGTCCAACAGAATCTTCATAAATGAACAGCCCACGGATTAGCAATCTTCACATGAGGGCATCAGCTAATTCCTCTCTGTAATGTTTACGACATGCCCTTTCTGTAATACCACACAACACACCCTATCTTGTATCATGTTGCCTTTTGGCATAGTCTCACATTATCTCATTTATGACAAGCTGCAGAGCAGAGCTGAGGAAAGGCCACACAGCCTTTTCCATACTGATCCCTTCCTGCAGCTTTTTCCATGCCATGTAGGGGCAGTTTCCCAGTTCATCGGTGCTGGTCGTGATGTTTTCTCTTCCACTGCCAACGGGATGTCTGGGTTCAAGCAGGGGAAGCGGAGGGCGTGGTATGAGGATAATACCTGCCGCCAGGACAATGACTTTGGGTCATTGCCTGAAGCACTCGGCACAGCAAGAGCTACAAAATAGCTCAAGCGTGTCCTGGGTAACTTTGATGGAAAAGCAGCTGCAGTATATAAATTATCTAATGGACAGAGCTTAGTTTCTCTGATAAATGTGAGACAAAGGCATTAGTTGCAGGTCTGAGCCAGGGTCAGACTGAGACAGTACGTACCGCATAAAGAGGAGGATCTACTGATATCAGACAGACCATTGCTATGTGTGAGTGTACAGAGAGCATCTGGGATTTCTGAGAAACCCAAGAGAAACAGGCAGTTGAACCCCCCCAAGTTCCAAAATCACATTAAACTTAGCATCTAACTACCTTAGACTCCTTTTACAATGCCAGCCCTAAGTACTCTTGAGCTAATGATCATTAAGAAACATTATTAATTTCTGGACTAATTTCTACTTCATATGCTTTGCTACCTCATTAAAGGCTGTATAGTTACCTGGGGATGATAATGGCATAATTTTAGCAGCATCTCTAAATCTTCCCCTTTTTAAAATTTTTGTATTTTCATGTTTGCAAAAGTCAGGTAGTACACTTCTTAAGGGCTGCTTGAATATTCAATTATTTTTGTTCCAATTCTCATGGAACTGGCTAATTCATTCTACAAAA